TCTCGACTGTACGTCTTGGAGTCATGTGAAACGTGCCAGTAGCCTAAGGAACAGCACAGCCCAGAGAGGCCATGGCCAGCTGCCTGTCAGCTGTTCTGGGCTAATTTGGGGTTTCAGTGCTGGGGTGGAGAGAGTGCCGGGAAATCCGAACAGGGGAGTTCCTGGGGCTTGAGGAAAGCCAGGCTGGGAAGGATGGAACGTAGATCTCTGCCTCCTACCCCTCCACGAATCATGGTGCCACGTAGAAATGCAGAGTTGATTCTCCCAGGGGCAGAATTGCCCAGCAGGGGATATTGGCGTTTGGTGTGTGGCTGTTTCTGCTCACATACCCCGCTTGGCACATAAGAGACTGCACTTGAAAACCACCCCTAGTCCTCAGCCTTGTGCCCAGCAGCCCCTTCCCCAAATGCTTTACCCCCTGTTTAATATTCTGCTGGTCTTTTCAGTCTCTCTCATCCTGAGTCTGGAAATCACTTGAGGGCAGGGACTGCCCTTAGATCCCAGCACCTACTCAGTGCATGGCATGGAGTGGAGGCAGAATGAAAGGATGGATGTCTGACCTCTTCCTCCTCCAAGAAATGCCATAAGCATGAGACCAGCAGCCCCCGGGGAGTCCGGCTGCACAGCACCTCCTCTTCATCCTCCCTTCCCAGCAAGGACGGGAGAGAGGAAGTTTGCAGTCCTGGCATACTCAGGGCTCGATCGTGGGGCTAGATGTGATTTTTATGGCAGGCAAGTGGGATAGACATGATTAGAACTGGCTTTTCCATCGAAGACCCTGAGATCCTGCTCCTGCCCACCGTTGCAGCAACCTTCCCTTTTGGATTTCTAGGTCACCGGCAGAATAAGTTTTTCCAAAGTTGACCGTTAGAGTTCCTTTCTTGTCAAGTAATTCAATCCGAGGGCTCTGGGGTTTGATTTTTTTTTTTTTTTTTTTTTTTTAGCTTTTGAGCAGTGTAGGGAAAATGGGCTGAGGATGATTTCTGTAATTGTTCTGGGATTGGGAGTCTCCAGACTTGGATTGTAAAGAATTGCTGTAGCTGGTCATAGCTCACAAGCATTAATACTAATATTAATAACAATTACTTGAAAAAACACTTTGCCAGTCACAAAGCCCTTTTACACTATCTTTAATTTTTTTTTTTTTTTCATTTTCTCAATAGCCTTATGTTTACTGCCTCCATACTACAGATAAGGAAACTGAGGCTCAGGCAGTAGATGTAGTTCAGAGAGTGATTAGGTGGGAGGGGGATCCAGGCCCCAGGGCTTTGCGTGCAGATCCTGAGTTCCTGGGTTCTCCTCCCTGCCTCTCAGCCAGTGTTTCTGTGGGCCAGGGGCTCCCACTGTGAACAGCTTCCTTTCCTGAGGGACCCCGGAGAAGGGTCAGGCCCATGAGGACTTGTAGGTCCTCCTCTCTGCGCTGACTTCATTGTGGTTGCATTGTGTGGAAATGGGGAGGGAAGCCAGTCTCCCCGGTAGCTTGGGAGCGGCCATGGCCCTTCAGAGAAGCCCAGATGAAGGCATGGGTCCTGGCCTTTGCACATTTGCACTAAGCAGTCATTAGGTGTGGCAGCTCCTTTTGGTCAAAGGCAATGCCCAGAGAGGAGCTCAGCTGTGAGCATTTGGCAGGCAGCTCTTGAACAGCTGGAGGAATGGGTGCCCAGGGGGGACCACAGCATCCATAGCATCAAAAATGGGGAATGGGCAGTGCTTACTCTCAGTGGTGGACCACATTTGTTTTGGGAACTGGGAGGTTGCTCTCTGTCCCTCAAATGATAGCATTAGGCAAACTGCCTAACCACCTTCTATCGTGGCTTTGGGACAGACAGGATTCACTAACTGGAACCAACCTGGCCTGTGAGGATGCTAACCTGTTTTTAAAAGTAATCAGTCTTCATTAATGTGTGAACACAGGGTGACTTGCTGTGTGCCCTTGGGGAAGTGACTCTCCTTCTCTAAGTTTCACTTTCCTCATCTATAAAATGAGGGTAAGGCTACTTTGAAAACTGTACTCTTCTGGGCAGGCTCGAGCAGTGATTATGAGGGTCAACATTGTCACATCCTCACATGGAAAATGTGAAATGTAAGGACAATGTTTTCCATGCTTTGTTCTGTTCCAAGTCCTCTGTAATCCTGTGAAGCCTTTCTTGCCACCAGAAAGGGGAATGCTATGGCCTAAACAAGATAGAATAAGTGCAGAAAGCAGGTTGAAGTGGAATCCGTAGTCACTCACCTGCTCAGTAACCATCAATGGCTCCCTATTGCCCATGCAGTCAAGTGGGCAGACTCTGCCTGGATTTAAGATCCTCCTGTCTGGTTCCAAACCATCTTTCCAACCTCTTCTCTTGTGAAACTCCACCTTTCCCTTCTTGCTTCCTGGGAAGTCCCTGAATGATCTTGGCTGTTCTCAACCATGGGCCTTTATTCCTGCTGCCTCACCCCTTTGAAATATGCTCCATAGTCCCTGTTTTGTATTCCTAAATAGATCTCCCTGTGATGGTAGAGCTTTGAAGTGCTGTTCCTGGAAACTTAATGACTTGGGATGACTAGGATATTGACAAATTAAGAACAGCCAAATGTGCCCTTAGTGTTGGTGACTTGACATGAGCAGGTTCAGCTTAGAGAGGGCCCTTCATCTCCTGAGGACCCACTCGAGGTCACTCGTGTCTGTGGCCACCAGGTGGGATCAGAGTTGCTGGTTAGACTTCTCTCACCCACACCAGCCTCTTGGAGGTGGAAGGATCGGTGGCTACTCAGGAATTCATTAACCCTTTTCTTCTTTGTTGTTGATGTTTCTGTAGTTTTTTTTTTTTTTAAAAAAAAGGATAAAAAATTGGAAAGATCCAAAGAGTAAAGAGTGAGACCAATGGCTTACATGAACAGATAAGATTGTGCCAAATAACTGTGTCCAACTAGGCAAAACACGGTGTCTTTCTGTTAACTTCGTTCCTGATGTTTCCTTCTATCTCATTGCAAAGCTTTATACACCTATGTCCTTCCCTTTGTGGTTGGTAGTTTGTAAATGTTGACTTTTGCATGTTGCATGTTGATTTTTGCCTCTTTCATTATTTCTAAGACATTCTGTTTTTAGTCTTGTGGGTGGATTTTAATATTGTTGGTGAAATATTGCACCAGAGTTTCTAACTTAAATTCATCTTCTTAGCCATCCAAATCAAAGCAAATTTCTTAACAAAATACTTTTTGTTAAAAGCAATGAATTTAGTAATATTGGTCATTTTTCTTTCACTTTTCCTCTTTTCTATCGTTTATTATTCTAGTACTAAGAGTTAAATTTCCATTCTTTGCTTTCTAAAAACTCTCTTTTGCAAGAATTTTGTTTTCTGTCTGTCGTAGCTTGCTTTTGTTCCAACAGGTGCACCAATTAATTAGACCAGTGGTTCTTAACCTTGAGGGCGCATTAGAATTACAACATTCCTGAGCCCCACCTCCAGAGGGTAGTTCTGGGGTGGGGCCTGAGAATGTGCATTTCCAGCAAGTTCCCATGTGATGTGTCGCTCTGGGTGGGGGGGAGCCCACTTTGAGAGCCACTTATGTAGACTTACCAACAACCAACCGCCTTTCCTCGGTGCTTGAAGACTTTGCTGATAAACATCTCTGTTCTCTTCATCAGCGGCCACATCTAGATTTTGCACCTCTCTAGCATCCCCAGTGAAGAGTCCTTCCCTGGATTTAGCTCTTGAACTCTAGAGTTATTTGTCAAAAAATTTTGCAGAGCAGACAGAAAGAAGACTAGTGGATTTTCCCCACCTTCTTTCAGTTGCCTTCACACACAAGGAGGTGGCTGAACAGAATTCCTAGCTGTTTTCCTTGTGGGTTTCTGGAGATGTTGCCTGGCCTTGTCTGTCATCAGGAGATGTATGATTGTTCAGATTTAAGGCCATTGAAAGAAGCCAGATTTTTATCCCCGTGCTTGAAAGTACCTAGAATTAGGAATTTTTTCTTCCTCCTTGAAGTTTCGGTTTGTGACAGGCAATGTTTTGAAGCTGATTTCTGATGATTAATTTCGACTGCAACTCCATGAGTCCTCAGTATAGTAACCTTTACAGAGTGCTTCAGATAATTTTCATGTCACTTTCTTTTTCCTGCATGAGTCTTATTGTCATGTTGAAGTAGTGCTCTTAGGCATAGCTTCATGGAGATGCTTTGATCATCTCCACAGTTAATCAGCCATGAAGATGTCATACATTTTCTTGCTGCCACGCCTTTGCTGGTGCCATTCCTTCTTCCTGGAGCACATTTCTTCCCTGCTCTGCCTGGAAAAACCATAGGCATCTTTGGGAATCAGCTCACATGCCCCGTTTGTGGGGCCGGCTATGACTCTCAGAGTGTCACCCCCTTCCTGTGCCTACGTAACTCACAAGATGTCCACATCATGGTGTTTCTCATTTTATTTGATTGATTTGCCCGGCACATGGTCATGATAGCAGCCATCATTTATTGGGCACTCACTGTGTATCAGGCACTCTTTAATCCTAGCAGCAGTCCTCAGAGGTTTGAGCACTGTCCTTATGCTCACTTAAAGATTAGGAAACCGAAGCTTCTTAGGGACTTCAAGTAACTAGGTGCTGGTGAGGCTAGCATGAAAACTGGGTGTTGCAGCTTCTGGGTGCCGTGCTTGTAGATGCTCGAAATTGTAGGCACTCAACACTGGTTGGGTGAGTGATGCATGAAAAGGTGGCTGTGATAGATAGAGGGAGGTAGGCAGTGGGAAAGCTGCTGGTGAAAGAAAGGCAGGGACAGTTCTAAGCCTGGGCTGAGCCTAGTGGGGAAGGTTTGGAGGACAGCCTGAGGGCATGTCCAGCACAAGGAGGAAGAAGGAAGACAAACTTTGCCTCTTTAGTACCTCATCTTGTGAGTCAGGATGTAGTACTTGGACAAGCCTGTCACTCAGGAAATGGTGTTTAAGTCAGATAGGTCTGGAAGTGTCTCCAGTGTTAATTAATGCCCTGTTCTCCTTTCTTCTGCCCCCACCCCCTCAGCCTCGGCCTTCATCATTGTCATGCTCCTGGCCAGCCTCAACAGCTGCTGCAACCCCTGGATCTACATGCTGTTCACAGGTCACCTCTTCCAAGAACTCGTGCAGCGCTTCCTGTGCTGCTCCGCCAGCTACCTAAAGGGCAACCGCCTGGGAGAGACAAGTACCAGCAAAAAGAGCAACTCGTCTTCCTTTGTCCTGAGCCATCGGAGCTCCAGCCAGAGGAGCTGCTCCCAGCCATCCACGGCGTAACCCACCAGCCAGGGCCAGGGCTGCCTCCTGAGGTTCGGGCTGTGCTGGCATAAGTGGTCTGCCCCTAAGTGATGGCGTATGTTTGTGTGTAAGGTACCTATCAGTTTGTTTCCCTCCACTCCTTGGGGTGGCTTCAGTGGGGTAGAGAGTGGTCTCCATGATGGGAGATGATAGGGGACTCAGCCATCAGGCAACCCCCTCACCTCCTACATGTACTTCTGCCACCCTGAACCCACTGCTACCCTGGGCAGTGGGTGGCTTATTTTTTCTCCTGGACTTGCAATTTCACGCCAGTATCTTTTTACTTCTTTATTCCGGGCTATTGTGAAAAGCAGGAAATACAGGATTGGTGACCAATTGGGTCAGGAAGTCCAGTGTTCTGGACTTGGGGTAAGGAGTGGGGTTGGGACTTCAGATGGGGAGGGTGGTGTTAAGATCCTCCTGACCTCAAAGTATATTTGCCTTTAAGTGAACAAATGCTGGGGTCCTTGAGGACCAACTTGTCAGAGGGTAGCACTAGAAAGGGATTACCTTGTAAGACCATCTGGCACAGTGGACCAATTAGAACTTGGGTTAAAAATGTTTAAGAAGCTAATGTTTAAGAAGCGTTTGGGAAAGAAAAAGAAATAAACACATCCAGATTGGAAAAGAAGAAGTAAAACTATTTGCAGATGACACCGTTTTGTATATAGAAAATCCTAAGGAATTCACACACACACACACACACACACACGACGCACACACACACACACAGCTTATTAGAACTAATAAGCAAGTTCCTCACGGTTTCAAGATACAAGATCAATATACAAAAATGAATTGTATTTCTTTATACTAGCAACAAACAATATGAAAACAAAGTTAAATAATTCCATTTATAATAGCATCAGAAAGAATAAAATAGGAATCAACTTAACAAAACAAGTGCAAGACTGAAAACTACAAAATTTGGAAGAAATTAAAGGAGGCTTAAATAAATGGAAAGATATCCTGTGTTCACGGATCAGACTTAGTATTGTTAAGATGGCAATACTATCCTAATTGACATATAGATTCAGTGCAATCCTTATGAAAATCATAGCTGGCTTCTTTGCAGAAATTGATAAGCTAGTCCCAAAATTCATAAAGAAATGCAAGGGACCCAGAATAGCCAAATAAGCCTTGAAAAAGAACAAAGTTGATGGAATCACACTTTCTGATTTCGTAATTTATGATAAAGGCACAGTAATCAGCTCAGTGTGTTACTGGTTTAAGGATAGACATACGGAGTAGAATAAAGAGTACAGATATGAACACTTATACTTATGGTCAATTGATTTTTGACAAGGTTCCCAAGACAATTCAATAGAGAAAGAAGAGTCTTTTCAACAAATGGCGCTGAGACAATGATATGCATGTGCAAAAGAATGAGGTTGGACCTTTACTCACAACATGTGCAAAAATCAACTCAAAACACATCCAAGATCTAAATATAAGAACTGAAACTAGACAATCTTAGAAAGAAACATAGACTTAGATCTTTGTAACCTTGAATTAGGCAGTGGTTTCTTACATATGACACCAAAGACACAAGCAACCAATGGAAAAATAGGTAAATTGGACTTAATCAAGATTTGAAGCTTTTGTGATTCAAAAGGCCCTATCAAGAAAGTGAAAAGATAACCTGCAGAATGGTAGAAAATATTTGCAAGTCATATATATGATAAGGGACTTGTATCTGGAATATAGAAATAACTCTTATAACACAACAATAAGGAGAAAAATACATCAATTAAAAAAATGGGCCAATGATTTGAATAGACATTTCTCCAAAGAAGATATGCAAATGGCTAATAAGCACATGAAAAAATACCCAACATTATGATTCATTAGGGATATGCAAGTCAAAACCACAATGAGATTCCAGTTTACAATCACTAGGATGGCTACAATAAAAAGATGAACAACAACAAGTGTTGGTGAGGATGTAGAGAAACTGGTAGAAATTTAAATTGATGGGAACATAAATGGTGCACCTGCTTTGGAAAACAGTTTGGCAGTACCTCACAAAATTAAACATAGAGTGACGATATGACCCAGAAATGCCACTCCTAGGTATTTGCCAAAGAGAAATTAAAACATACATACACACAAAAACTTGTACACCAATGTTCATAGCAACATTATTTAAAATAGCCAAAAAGTGGAAACAACCCAAATGTCTATCAACTGATGAATGGGAAATAAAATGTGGTCTATCCATACAATGGAACATTTTTAAACTCTAAAAAGAAATGAAGTACTGACACATGCCACAACATGGATGAACCTTGAAAACATTATGCTAAGTGAAAGAAGCCAGTTGCAAAAGACCACGTGTTGTCTGATTGCATTGAAATGCAATGTTTAAAATGGACAAATTTATACAGAGAGAATATAGATTAGTGTTTGCCAGGGCCTGGAGGCTGTGGGAGATGAGGTGTGACTACGAAGGGTTTGGGGTTTCTTTTTTGGGTGATGAAAATGTTCTGAAATTAGTGGTGATGGTGCACGATTTTGAAAATATACTAAAAGCCAATGAACTTTAAAAAAATAAAAATAAACAAAAAAATGTTCAACAGATGAATTCAGAGAAGGCCAGCTTGACAGATGAATTCCTTGGAATCTCTTGCCTCTCAGAGCTTTCGTTTCTCTATGTGGCTCACTGCTTGAGAGGGATCTTATGGTTTTCTCACTTGATTTTGCTGCAAGAGATGATGTCTCTATTTGGCAAAAAATAACAGCAATGATAATATCCCTACTTTGTAAAGGCACAAGTGATGCCTTGTAGCTGCAGGTTGTTATGTTTTATATAAAATAGAAATTCACTAGGGGTGTCAGAGGTTTTTCTTACCTAGTGAACATGTTCTCAAATGTCCTCTCAGCCTTGAGGTTAGGACATGAACAGGTCTAAGAAATACTTTGTCACTAAATACAGGACACTATTGATCAGAGGTTTACTGTCAGGGACTGGCCAGCTCAGTGCATGGTGGGGCGCCTTTTAAGTTTCCAGACACATTGTTGTACTTACTGGGATACAGCGGGAGCACTCTCAAAGGCCACAGATCCATTCTCTCTCTTTATAACACACTTTCTTCTTCCATGCTGCAGTAGCCACATAGCCACACACATGCGCATACACACACAATAGAATGAGCTAGCATTGTCTAGATGTTCTGGGAGAAGAGAGGCATGCACTGAAATGTCCATGTTCAAAGTCTAAGGATTTAGCACAAGGTCTTCAGTATTACCTGGAGATTGAAGATAGTATCATCTTTGAACTGCAAGGCACTGCTCAGTGTTGCTGGGACATGCATGAAGAGCGTCAACACCAGCCAGTCCTTGCTCTTTGGGAAGCTAACAGGATGCTGTTCTGGGGCCTCTGTGCCCATGTACCGAAACACTCGTGTGCTCTGGGTGCAAATGCAGCAGTGGTGGTGTCTGTTAGCATCCATGCCTCACTGCCCACCAGCCAGAGATGCCCGAGGTCTCTGCTGGTCCCAGGGAAGTTGCCATCCTAGAAGCCAACAGAGGCCACTAGGTATCAAAGGGACAACAACTCACAGTAGATTTTCTGACCAGGAGCACAGCCTTCCTAGAAACCCTGGAGTTATGAGATTATTGGACATCAGAACCAAGTGGGATGCTTTGTCATTCTCTTCATGTGAAAGCTCTCGCGGGTACGTTGGGTCTCATTATGCACAGGAGTCTCTTTTATGGCAAATAAGTGACATTCAATTTCAGTAGTCCCATTGGATCTCCTTGAGAGCATTTTCACCATTTCTTAGTCTTTCCCCAAATAAAGTCTAGAAAAATGAGCACAGGGGTTCTGAATACTACCTCAGGCTCAGTTTTTGGCCTCCTCCCCAGACCTCATGCCTGAGGTCTCCCAACCACCATTCCCTACAGTTTCAGACTTGTTTACAACCATATGCATGGTTGGGGTTGCCAGGAAGTGGGAGCTACAGATTGTCTTCTGCAGTGTTTCATGGCTCTGATCATCAAAAGTGAATGTGGAAACTCTGAGTCTTATTTCCTTAGGCGCTGAAAAAAAAAAAATCTGACACATACTTTGGTCTCCTTTTGGGTTGAGTCTATGTTTTGCCACTTCTGGAAATGTAAAGGGACAATGCAGGCTATCTTTTAAGAGAATCCTGGTTTCAAAGTGTTTAACCCTTTTTGTATTCAATAGCAATGAAATGCCACTTAAGGCAAAATGTGAACACCTTGATTTTGTTCTACTGTGGTGACCTGCTCTGGCACTCCTCTGTAACTGTGCCGGTTGGTGAATGGCATGGCTGATCATAAGGTGTCTGCTTCATTAGCTGCTTGATAGAGACTGCACTTAATAAACATTTGTTTCCATACATTGCTTTGTCCCCGTTCTTCCTCTCAAGAACGGTGACTGGAACACGTGGCTTGTAGAACCCAGAACCCTGCAGGGCTTCAGAGCTATTGGCCTGATTATGGCACAGGTGCATGGACTGTGGCAGGATGTGGAAGGGGGCCCTGGTCCCATTCTCTGGAATCACAGGTGCACTCACTTGTCAGAGTTCTGTGGGAAGATGCTCTTAAGATTCAGGAACAAACATTTGTATGATGTCCCCGAACCTGCTCTGAACCACAGTGGAACTCTGGGGTTAATAGGATTCTAGACTGTTAACCTTGAAGGAACACTAACACATATTTCTTAAAAGTGGATTTGGGAGCCATCTGCAGCATCACAAATGAGTTTGTGTTAAAATGCAGATTCCTGGGCCCCACTACTGAATTAAACTCTGGAGCTAGAGCTTTGGAACCTGCATTTTAAACAGGAGTCCCTGGTGGTCCCTATGTATCTTATGAGAGGGAATTCCATCCTCCTGCCTCAGGCCCGTTCTCATCATGCCCTCAATATGATTTTCTGCCTGCTACTTCTCAAGGGGATTCCTGCAGGGAGAAGAACTCCTTGGACACCCATGCATCTCAGATGTGTGTCCTGCCTCCAGTTCTGTGAACTTTGTGGGTAATTAAGTACCGACCATAGTCTGCCCTTAGAGAAAGAGAGTGAGCTTGAAAAATTGGAGTCATCGTCAAATCCAGTTATAACAAATACCAAGATGGCAAATTCTCTACATAACCCAAGATTCCAAGGCTGAAACGGATAGCCTTATGATTTCAAGACACATTTGAAAGGGCAGGCCCTTTCAGGAAGACATAAGTAACATCAGCCTTAATCCTTTTCAGCGGGGGGAGCCTAGGCCTGCTGAGCCCCCCAACAATGTGGAAGAGCCCCAAGGGAGAGCAGAGGCGGCAGGCTGGAGCCACAGCAATAATGCTGGCTAGGTGGGCACTTTTTGGCAAGGTTGCTGACTTCTCTGGACTGTAACTTTCTCATCTGCAGAAACAAGGGATGAATGATGAAGTGTTTGGGGGTAAAATATACTGATCTCTGCAACATATTTAAACATGCATAAAGATGAGATTTGTGGGATGGAGAGGGGTGGATAGATGGACAGGGACGTGAGAAAGCTGGCGTAGAAAAATGTTAATGGTAGAGCCTAGATGGGTAGGTAGCTGTTCAACTTTTCTCTGTGTTTGAAATTTACATAAGATGTTAGGAGAAAACCAAAATTGGGTAAAATTTTGGAGCCAAAATGCACATTAGAGATCATTTTGTGGATGATGAAATTGAGGCGGAGAAGGCAACCAGGAGCAGAAGCAGGTCTGGAACCAAGGCTACCTGCGTCCTAGTTCCCAAGCTGTGTGCAGTCCACTTCACCATACCGTCTCCCAAGACCACTGGGCTCATGGCCAGGCACGAATAATGTCTCCGAAAACCTGACAAGTGCTGTGGAACCTTAATTATATGAGACTTAAATGGGCGTTACATGAAAAGAAAAAAAAAGGTCAGATAGAATTGGGGGATATTGGTCTAAACAGACTTGCAATAGCTGCCTCTTAGCAAATGATCTTCCCTCACGTCCGGGCATGGGGGCATCGTGGTGGGGCTGGGGGAGAGCGAAGGGCCACTGTGCTCCGTGGCTGGGCTGTCTTTTCTTTCTGGCTTCCTTACAACTGTGTGCTCTACTGCAGGACTTGTCAGAGCCTTTAATGTGCCAATGCCTATTGAAAATCTGTGAGAGAAATACACAGCATTTCCAAAAGAACCGGACCACACATGCTAACACCCGTCCCCATCTTTTCTTTTCTAATGGCTAAGTTCTGGATAGCACACTTGGAAAAGACAGCCCTAAAGAAGATAAGAGCACTGTGTGTGTGTGTGTGTGTGTGTGTGTGTGTGTGTGTGTGTGTGTGT